TTCTGACACTGTGCTAGGCATTGCCTCCTGGGAAGAATAGTTCAAGGCACTTAACACTTGTGTTTCCACATCGGGGCTATGCTGCTGGTCTATGTCTCTATGCTGGGGATAGCTATTATGCATCATTTTAGGAAATATGTTCCACCCATGGTGCACATGATCATGGGCTATATATACCTATGGATCCTTCCTGTTCTCAAGCCTGTTGTATACTGCATTAAAATCCAGGAGATAGGAATCTATACTTTGCGTAATCTACTGAAATTATAGCAGAGAAAACTTTAGGGTTGTTTATATATTTCTGGAATAATTTTTATGAAATTAAAGAAACTTATATCTCTGAGAAATATTCCTGTGTTTATAATCTTCATGCACTTGTTTGTCTCTCTCACTATTCTGGGAGTTTTTGAAGATAACAACAATATCTTATGACCTTTTATTTCCCACAAGTAACTAACCTAAAATAAGTAATAAATAATTGTACAAATAAAGAGTGCATTCTCAATAATCTATGTAGTCAGAAAGCCCCAAAATTCAGGGAAATCAGTGATTTACTAAGATACCTGTAATGCAAAACATAAGCATTCCATGATTTTTCACTACCTAACCTTGAAATTACATTTAATTTTCTCAGCTTTCACCTATGAGAGTTTTATCTTGCTTAGCATTACTTTACAAATATATTATCCTATTTTACCATGTATATGACTTAACTTCTTTGAATATGTTAAGTACATATGTAAAGCTTAGATAACTAAGCAGAAAATTACAGAATAGACTGAAATCAGACATTAATTTGTATATTGATATGCCATGTAGAACTCTTTGTCTCAGTTTTAGTTGCTGATTAGCAGTTTGCTGATTTATGAAATTACATAACTAAACTTGAAGTAGTCTATTAATTCTTAGTAGCTATCAGAAAGAATGCTAATAACAATATTTGATAGAGAAAAGATACATTTTATTTGGACAGGACTCACTTTAAATAGTTTTTGCCTCCAAGGAGTCATTAAAACAACATAAAAATAGAAAGTACTTCATGAGTCAGTACATCAACCTCTCAAAGGTTATATAGGGCCTTATGTATTTCTTGCTCCCACATTTTCCTGATTGATTGCAGCTTTTTTATACCTAGTGTAGGAAAAATAACCAAAAATCCACCAAAAATGTTCACATTATGTTTACGCATGGTTTTCTAGACATGCATGAGAAATTCATAATATTTCTAAAAGGTGGTATGGTAATGTAAGTGCTTATAAATTTCATCTATTTCCTCACCTGTGCCTCTCACCAACCTATTGCCAGCCTACCTTACCTTCAGTCTAGGTTCTCTGGCAACAGACAGACATTTTCTTTAATTGTTATTTTTACTTTCTCATTTATATTTCTCATCTTTTATATCATTCTAGAACTCTTTATTTTTGGAACTCAATGCCCTTATCTTACCTGGTAAAATAATATTTTGTCTCACTGCAGAGTGTCTATTGGTTAAGACAAGGAACATGTCCATTCTTTTCACTGATATATTCATAATAATGGAATCAAGCATGTGACCTACAAAATATATATTGGAAAAATAAAGAAGTAAATGAATCTCAAAAATTATTTGAGACAAAAACCACAAATTGGACAAAAAAGAACCAAGCCATAACTTATGCCAGGAAAAATTAGATAAATCATATAAAGAAAACCAATTGAACAGATGCTTTTGTTTTGGAGCAACATGGATATTTAGAATTAGACATCGTCTTTTGAGATCAGCTAAAAGATGAGACTAAGACCTGTATTTTGACATGTAGGAAAATTCTAAAATATCATATTATTGGACCCTATCTTTAATGTTCATGGTGGAAAAGGAAGCACAGTTTTACATTATTCAGGATTTTCTGACTTATAACATTTAATTACCCAACACTGGTGATGAGGGAGATCATGGGTGTCAACAGAAGAATTTTATGATGAATACAAATTCGTAAATTAAATAGGTGATTTACTAGATCACTTTGAACTAAGAGGATCCATGATTTCAGAGTTCAAGAGTACATAAGGGGCCCAGCTGGGGGTGGCTCAGCAGTTGAGCATTGACTTAGGATCTGGGAGATAGAGGTTCGATTCCTGGTTAGGACACATGTCTGGTTTGCGGGCTCGATCCCCAGTCTGGGGTGTGCTGGAGGCAGCTGATCAATGACTCTCATCATTGATGTTTATCTCTCTCTCTCCCTCTCCCTTTCTCTCTCTGAAATCAATAAAGATATATTTTCTTTTTAAAAGTACATGAAGTTACAAATATAATTAATTTTGAAATTAGAATTATATGTGAAGACAGCTGACATTGATTTACGTCTCCAAATATTGAATAGCACTATAATTTTTTATCTGCACTAAAAGAATCTTCTTATTTTAATGGTGTTCTGTAACCTTTGCAATAAACCAGCCTCACTTCTCTGGCTATTCAACATTTAATAAGTCAGTTTTTGTCTTCTTCTCAGGTAAGTATATATCTGTAAACTTCTTTTAATTAATAATAGGTTTGTATTTTTCCTTAGTCTTATGTATAATCTCCACCAAAAATCAGAACCTATAATTTATATACTCCTCTCCTAAACAAGGTGGTATATGCATACACATGAATTGTTATTATAAAAAGGAAGTCTAGTCAACTAATCCAAATACTGACAGTAGGTCTCAGGAGTAAAGCAATCACTCAGCATGCAAAATACCCAAAAGACTTCTCAGCCCAGAGGCTATGCTTTGAGTTGTTTTTATAAATATCGGCATACAATACAAATGACTATATATATATGCATCTTTTTCTTCTCTGAATTCTTAGAAGCTAGACATGACTATCTAGCTCATGACAACTAAGACTTAAGACCTAAGAACATCACTAAGAAGAAACTCAAGATCTGCTTTTTATGTTCCCAAAGATTTACAAAAATCATGCATCTAAAAGGTAAATTAGAATAGTTTAGTGGTTAAAACTGTGGGTCCTGCAATTAGGATTCCTGGGTTTTAAAACAGGATTTATGTACTTATTAGTGATGTGATCTTGGGAAAGTCTTTTAATGCCTGAGTTCCCTTTTGTGTAAAATTGGGGCACTTAACAATAGCTACTTTATAGAGTAGTGGTGACCATTAGATTGGATAATCCATATAAAGTGGTTAGAATACTTTTTAGGAAAATGTTTAATACTTGGAAACATTGATAAATATTTGCAATTATTATTTTTGCCATTACTGCTATATTGCCCATTCCTGTGTTGATGCGTGATATGTTCTCTATTTAAATATGCTGATATTTTCTGTGTGGTGGTTACACAGCAAAGACAGGCACTGCAAATGAAACAAAGCCTCAGTCTCACAAGGCTAAATAAGGAGGTTATACCTCCATATTGTCAACAAAATAATCATTCAAAAAAATCTCTCTTGGAGTATCATTAAAAACCACCTCATCTCTTCTATGTGTTTGCTTTTTGATGAGAATTTTTTGTCTTTTCCCCCCACATCTGAATTGAGAGGAAAAGGGAGACTGAGAAGAGAAAGGAGACAGTGTGAAGGAGGAAAGAATAAAATATGCGTGGGTAATGAGATAATGGGTCCTACTTCCTCCATAAGGACTGCAATATTTGAAAATTATTTCAATTAACCCAAGGGATGATAGTTAGAGATCTTGAAATGCAGTGTAATTTTTCATTTGATAGTGTGACAACCTCACATGAAAATTAGAGCCTTGCAGATTCTAGACTTCAGGGGCTCTTTTGCAATGAGCAGCATATATTATCCATAACTTTGAAACTTTCTAAGATTCACAGTCAAACTTCTTCATTAACATACAGGGTGCCTTTGCCATGTACTGCATTTGATTACAAACTTGACTAATTAACTTAATGTTTTACAGCTCTGGTGATACATAATTTTATATTTCAGGCATTTTTTTTTAAGAAAAGGAATTCATTTTATAATTTTTGATATATTAAAAGTAAGAACTGCTATATTTTTAAAAAATTGCTAAAAGTTGATCTCATTCCTTTGTTGGTGAATATGAAAATTATAGTCACTCTATTCTGTGAAAATGTCTTTCAGTAATAGATATTGAGTGATTATGAACCTTGACATTATTCAGTGACTTTCTTATTCTGATAATGAACATTCCATACTCCGAATTTTTGTCTTCTTTGACTCCAATTCATGATCCTTGAGCGTTAATACTTATTAGGTGTGATTAGTGTTACAACTTATGCATTAAAAGTTTAAATTTTACATTAATTCAACCATTATCTTTAAGAGTTCAAATAAGAGACAGGTGAATGAAACTTTTTCCTTTATTGTAGAAACATTAGGCCAAGTGAACATATTTTACACCCTTAGGATGGGAAACAGGAATTGGAGTCTTCATGCTGGCTCCAGTTATATATATATTAGTCTACCACCCGGTCCACCATTAAATTTGTCCATCCCAGAATGAAATATTAATTCTCTCTAGTGCTATATCTAGTTTTATAAAAAGAGAAAAAGTTATGTTTGCAATTTAAGAATTTATTATGGAGTTAGAAAGGCAGAAACTATATACATAGTTCAGTTAAAAGTTTAAAATTCATTTACATAAGTTATGTGGATATAGCAATTAGCTTTACAAAAATAAAAGATTCAATTCTTAATTTTTCTGATTAACATTTTTTTTCAGGGAGAACAAGATGCCTCATAAAAGAGAGGTAGTTTGCCCACAATCGTTTAGTTATTTAGTCATTGTTCTCAAGCCATTTTATTCTCCTTCTACTCCATCACGCCAAAATTAATGGCTAGGACTTGAGTAGGATGAGGGAATACTCATTTCCTCCTGTTATTTACATTCTTTTCTCTCTGTTTTTCATATAACAGACTTTGGCTACCTCTCTGGAACAACATCCAACTATACATCCACCCCCTTCGTTGCCTTTCTACTCACTGGAGTCCCCGGATTAGAAGACTTCCAAATCTGGATCTCTATCCCTTTCAGCTTCATGTACCTTTTGGCGGTGGCAGGCAATGGCCTGGTTATGGTAGTGGTGGCCTGGGACAGGAGCCTCCATGAACCCATGTATTTCTTCCTGGCCATGCTGGCACTCAATGATGTCCTTCTTTGTACTGTCACAGTGCCCAAAATGCTTCTCATCTTCTGGCAGGGCCCTTCCCCATCAACCTTTCCTGAGTGTCTCACACAGATGTTTTTCGTTCATGCCCTGTTCCTCTCTGAATCTGCTGTTCTGCTGGCCATGGCTTTTGACCGCTATGTGGCCATCTGTGCGCCACTTCATTACACAACCCTACTTACAGGCTCTCTCATTAGCAAGGTGGCCTTGGCTCTGGTGTTTCGAAGTGTGGCTGTAGTGACCCCCGGTGTCCTCCTCATTCTTCGTCTGCACTTCTGCGGGAGCAATGTCATCCGCCACACCTACTGTGAGAACATGGGTATTGCCAAGTTGGCCTGCAATAGCATTGCCTTTAATAGCATTTACGGGCTCACTGCGGCTCTCCTCACTACAGGGCTGGACTTTGTTCTCATATCCCTGTCCTACTGGGTAATCCTGAGGACAGTCTTTAGACTACCTTCTAGGGAAGCCCGCACAAAGGCCTTTGGAACCTGTGGAGCTCATATCTGTGTCATTTTGATATTCTATACTCTGGCCTTCTTTTCCTTCTTTACCCATCGCTTTGGAAGCCATGTGCCCGGGTACACCCTTATTCTCTTGGCAAACCTCTATTTACTGGTGCCACCTACCATGAACCCCATTGTTTATGGGGTAAAGACAAAACAAATAAGAATGAAACTACTAAGGCTCTGTAACCATTCAAAATGACCTGAGGGCTACAAAGCAACAGGAACAGAGGAGTCCAGGATGGACTGAATGTTGTCTGAATTAATCTGGGCAGATCATTCTCCAGAACACCTAACCTCTGGATAGAGCTGGAAATATTCATATGTCCAAGTGCTATCTTCCTAATGCTAGGAAACAGGAAACTAAAAGAGCTGCTCAGCTTCCATCAAGGACTATTTCAGCATATTAAGGTAATAAACAGTGGAATGTCACTGTAACAGTGTAGGGGATTTATATATCTTTTTTATAATACACAATGCCTCTTCTGTCTCAATTTGCTATAGACAGGACAAAATGTAAGTGCTGTATGTTCAGGGATTAGTTCTGATTCCAAACTTATCATTACATCCAGAGGACCCGTAAAATACAAATAACTTAATGAATATTTGTTTACTAGATAAATGCCTTAGCTAATCAAATAATAAATGCTAATGATTTTATATAACAAACTCCCTGACTTGTCCTTATATATCACATAAGGCCTATAGTTAAAGTATTCTTTTCTTTTCAGAAATCATTCTCTAAGCTTCCAGAAAATATCTCCAATATCTTAGTGTAATAAAGATTTTTTTTGTTGCACACAATAAAAATTTACTTTGGTTAAGTTAAGTAAACAAAAAATCAGGTTCTGAGTTATGTCATGACATCCAAAGATAATCTGAAGATCTATAACTCAGGAAGGACAAAAGCTAGGCTGCTCTAGGGCCTCAATAGCAGGAAAGCATGGTCTTCTCTAATGGATTTAGTGATACTATTTGGTCCCACCTGCAATTATTATGGGACAAGAAATACAATGTCCCCTTATTGGTCAGATTGCTAAACCTGGATCAATCTGTTATGTCCTTTAATATTCTGATTTAATGGAAATGAAATTGTGTCAGAGCTTCTCAAAAGAAGGTCAGAACTAATCCTTTAACTTGTGGCAAATGGTCAGGATTATGTTCACTGGATTCATTTGGCTCTTTTATATAAGCACATTCCATTTTCCTAGTTTAGTTCTTCCCACACCAAACATTCTTGCTAATTGCATTCTATAGCACCTGGCACATACTTTATCATCTATAAACTTATCTGCCATATTTTTTGCAGTGTACTCCCTTTTCTCTTGTCTTGATTAATAAAAGATCTAAATTATTTCCCTGGCATCAGACTATAAAAAGGTGGATCATGAATATAATGTAAACACATACATACGCTTAGATGATGAAGGGGATAGTGATCTTCTCTGCTGTTTTTTTATTGCCATTGTGTTTTGCTACAAGGAACTTCTGCAGCATAAAGCTGATCATTGCATAATCCAAAAGATAACATTTGACATTATGAAAACAATTGCAGTGCATTTTTTCTAATGATAAGGGATTGAAATGCTAAAATGAATTATTATTTGAGCTTTTGTATATCCTACAGATTCTGCAGGAAGGCAAAGAATGTTTTCAGGAGGCAAATAAATATGCATGACTTTATCAAACAAGGTAATATGAATAAGAGCATTTTCTAATTTATAAATCCATATACAAATGAGATAGATGTGCCAATCATATTGTAACAAGAGGCAGAAACAAGAGGACTTCTTGTTTTAAGAGCATGAGCTGGTTGCCAGAACACTGGGCTCCAACCTTCAATAAAGCTTCAAAAATAAGATGATGCTTCTGTTCTCAATTCATAATGCAACCTGGCCATCCATTTACTCATTCATTTGTTCTTTTATTCATTTGCAAATTTAAACACTCATCTCTCACCAACTATGTTTGACTAGGAAGAATTATCTTGATATTGAGAATATGTATTTTTAAGTGGTTTTGGTGAAACATATTTTAAGTATATAATATAACTCTACTAATAAATATTAGGAGCTAGTATAGTAGAAAAATTTTGTAAACTCAAAAGTTGGGTTATTTATGTAGGTATCCATTTAAATAGTTATACTGGTATGTGAAATGTAAAATCTAGGATGCAATAGTTTTATTATGTGTGTTAGCAAAAGAAACACACAAAAAAAAAACAAACCCTGATAAAACTCATTTTATGGAACACCAGCACTAACAATGGTGAATTCAGCATCCATAGGTTAAAAACTTATTTTGTACTTGAAGGCCTTATTTTTAAAATGTTTATAAATAGTTAAAGGTTACTTATACAAACAATGTACAGCTGATAGTAATGTTCACAGTCTCCTCAAATTTTTTTCCATCAATTTTATTTTACTTATTTATTACAGTGAATATTATCTAATTTTGATGTTCACATAATTCGCTCTATTTTTAGTTGATGTCTCTGTCACTGAGGTTGAATGTACTAAAAAAGAGGGGTAATTAGAAGCAGAATCAAGAAATAAGGTAAAGAGGGGTGGGAGCACACACTTGAACTAAAATCAGAGGGCAGAAATAGGTTCCTGGAAATTCTGCATGCACTTCATATGCCTAAAATTTGAAATCACAATTTTAAGTTAGTAAAGTCTCTTTTATTGTATGAAATGTGAGTTCATGACAGGTAAAATATTTTCTCCCAAGATAAAAAATATATATACCCTTTTTATGGCTGAGTAGTATTCCATTGCATAAATGTACAATAGCTGCTTTATCCACTCATCTACTGATGGACATTTGGGCTGCTTCCAAATCTTAGCTCTTGTAAATAAAGCTGCAATGACCACAGGGTTCATATATTATCTCAAATTAGTGTTTTGTGTTTCTTTGGATAAATTTCCAGAAGTTGGAATTGCTGGGACATATGACAGCTCTGGGAGGGGGTATTGGGGGAATGGAGGGGTTGAAAGAAAAAAAAAGAGAGAGAGAGAGAGAGAACTCATGGACATGGACCACAGTGTGGTGATGGCAGTGGGGGAGAGGGTTGGGTGGAGGTGGACAAGAGCATAGATGGGATAAATGGTGATGGAAAATATAAAATAAAATAAAAATAAAGAACAACAACAACAAAATCCGTGTGTGTGTGTATATACCCACAACTAGTCACTCCTTAATGATTTATTTAATTATTCTTCATTCATTTCTGTATCATTTATACATTCAATAATAATTAAATGCCTCTTTTACACAACATATAGTGCTGATTCTTACAGGTAACAGACTGCTTGAGACACAGTTCCTATAGTAGCTAGAATAAGATGTGAAAACATACCACTTATTATTAAGACCTATGCAAACATTGGGAGGTATAAAAGTATTCCTTTTAACCTTTGTTTAGTTTTTGTCTTTGGACAAGTATAGACATATGAATTATGAAAATCCAATTAAATTTGCAAGATTTTTTTATGCAACGCTGTGCACAATCATGTGGTAAATAGTTTAAGGGTTATAAAAAAGTGTTGCATATTGAAAAGAGTTCTAGATAAAAATTAAGAAACCTGTATTATTTGTTTCCTATAATCGTAACTTATAAGTAGCTATACCTCAGTGAGTTAAATTTCTTTTACATTTTAATAAATAGTACACCCTAAATAATTATTAAGATACATTTAGTCCAATAGATTATAATCAATAGTTTCACATGTCAGTATCTGGAGGCTTTTAAAAATTACTGAGTCTCATTTTCTATAAGATTAAAATTATTTCTAAAAATTAAGTAAAAGAAAAAAATATGGAGGTTGCCCCTTCTTGTTTTTGAGGAAACAAAATCTTCTCAGAAAAGGGCAGAAGATGTGTATAAACTTTTAAAGATAATGCTGATACACCATGACGATTGATAATTTCTGCTTTAAACCTTAATATGCTCAAAATAGAATTTTTCCATCTTTAAAAAAGATAGAATATGCAGATTTACAAACACATTTATATAACCAGAAAGGTCATATAAGATTCCCTGATAAATATATAATGTCAAGAAACAAAGAAACACAGACTTAGTATATTCAAAAAACTTTACAAATAACTGACTTTGTATAAGGGTTGGGATTAGAAATGGGAGAGAATAGAATTTTAATGTAATGGCATTTACTGGAGGAGTATGTTTGAACATTCATTATATAGTTAATATCTCATTTATTAATTTTGGAGTTTGCTTAAAACTTTGCCAAAATCCCACTTCGTACGAATTAACTTTACAATGGTCAATCAAGTTTTACACAATGAGCTACTAACTGGAACATTAAAACTACACTGTTCTAATATTGTTTGCTATTACCATTTACAAATGTATTGATTTTATGTTATGTCTTGAAAAAGTACACACATTATTAGGAATATGTTTCAACCTTTGAAGAAATACATGAGAAGTCCTGTGTAGAGTACTCTTATCTTCTATGAAGTATTATAATGTAATGTAATGATATTTACAAAAGGTGACTGTTCCTGCATTGTTTACATAGTTAATAGGTGTTTCATTTATTAATTATGATTGTACTAAAAACAGTATTTCACATCTGTATTGTGTACACCTTCCTAGGTGTGTTCAGAAACTTCACTCCAGTTTTAAACAATTCAAAGTGAACTGAAACACTAAAACTACACTCTTCTACACAGTCTTTGCTATGAGCATGTACAAATGTACTGAATTCATGTTATACCATAAACTACTTCATGCATAAACTATCTGAAACATATTAAAATAAATCTTTGATAATACACAGATGAAAACAAACAAACAAAAAGGAAATGGGAGAAAATAGACCGAAATGATTTCCAACACACATCATTCCAACATATTCATATTTAAAGAGGTGCATTCACATCAAGATGGCACTAACTCAGGATAATAGAAAGAGTGGGCCTGATGACAGTGTGTCAGGAAATAAAGGGCTCATTCAATTTTTTAAAAGTATACACTAATACCATAAAATCTGTGTATGGTGCTAGGTGGGTAAGGGAAATATCAGGGGAACACTTTGTAAAGAACATGACTGATTGACCACTATGCTCTACACCTGAAACTAATACAAAATAGTATTTAATGTAAACTGTAATTGAAGAAATTTTTTTTAAAAGTCAAAAATATAAGTAAAGTAAAATGTAGGTCTTCATTTATAC